CCGGAAACCCAGGGAAACCCACGAGGCGGAGAAAGCCAGGCCAACGCGCAGCAAGCGCCCGCCAAGGAGAAAGGGGGGGGGGGGGGCGAGAGATAGAGAGAGATAGGGACAGAGAGACAGAGAGGGAAGGGGGGTGGAGAGAGAGAGAGCGACGGAAATGCATAGAGGGAGAAACAGACAGAGACAGAGACACACGCACGGCATCCGGCGAGGGAGGGACGTACGTAAGCACTGTACCGGCAATCATCACCAGCCGATATAACCCGACCTTTCGACTCCACAGCATGGGCGGGGCCGTTGCTGCCGAATAAGGGCAGGTTTGTTGAAAGTCTAGACCAACTACCAAACCGATCCTCACCGAAACCATTCGAATTTCCATGGCATTGTTAGTGGATCTCGTCCGCACTCTTTCTAAAACAGAGGTTGGAGCCCGTAGGCATAGACGCGTTCGCGATCATCGGCACCGATATTCGCTGCTGCTATCGCTACTGCTGCTGCTGCTGCTTGATATGGTTGTCTGGGCTGGTATGCATCTTTTGTTCCGTGCCCCCGCCGTCTCACTCTTGCTGCCATCGCACGCTATTGATCACACACCCCTTGCCTTCTCGCCGAGGTTCCAACAACAAAACCCGCAAGCAACACCCGCGCGACAAAAGGCATCGAGGTCTGCCTGTCTCTAACACTACCCCCACCTGCCAGAGGCACGAGATTGGACACCGAATCTGGCCTCAGTTGCACCTCGAGTACAGCCCAGGGATCCTTCACCAGCGCCATGAACGGGAGCCTCCTCGCGTAGACCTGGCCGGTCGTGGCGGACCGACCAGCCCAGCCCGACCACCAAGAACGAAACATCAGATGATCGAAAACAAGAGCGGAATCGTCACGTGTCTTTCCGAAACCAGAACAAAATAATCAGTCCAGCCAGGAGAGGGAGTGATGGAACGACCTCAACGGAAGCACGTTCCTTGCCGATTGGTCAGAGCCCGACTACCAAGAACGAAACCACAAAAAAATCGCACAGCACCTCATCGAATAATTATATACCATGTCTTCCCCCAACCCAGAGCAAAAATTCTCGATTCAAAAGCGAAGCGCTGCGTGCTATAGTTTCTTCGACAGCTGATGGTTAATTCTAGCGGGTAAACGCGCTCCACGTGCCCGGACGTCGATCAGCACGGTACGATTGATAACACTCTGACTGTTCAAACGTAGAATGGCGTCGACAGTACCCATGGAGTACCCATGGAGTATATTTCCATCTACCAACAACAATCACAAGTCGGTCAACCAACAACCAGCACGAGAGCCGTTCAGTTCGTCATGTTCAGACGTCTGTTTGGGAACTGCTCCGTCGAATCAACCCAGGCAGCGTTCGTTTGTACGGCAAGGGCAAGGGTGTAGGGGCGGACACACGAATGGAAGGACCCGACGGAAGGTCGGTACCCAGGGAAGTGATTTCTTGGCCTGTCTGATGGAGTATATATGGAAAACACAACAACGATGTAGGAACAGAGCACGGCATGCGTCCATCAGGAAAGCCTCCATGCTCTCTCATCACAGCGATGTTGAAATGATCTCCTCTTTTGGCCAGGGGTGGTCTAACGTTTCCAATATCGGGGCAGAACTGAACGCAAACGTCTAACCTGAAACACACATCGGGCGAAAACTACCCATATAAAAGGAGCCCAAGCTCTCACGCCTCGGTGGCAGAACTCCCCACATTTTAGGGGACCCCCCCCCCCTTTCCCTCCCCCCCCCGTAGCTCCGCGTTTTCGGGAGCAAAATCAGCGCCACAAAATGCCAATGGCCTGTGACTCGCCTCGCTCGCGGGACTCCCGACGGTAGTCGGGGGCGCCGTGGATGATCGAACATCCACCTCTCCACGCCCCCCGCCCCTTGCCCCCGCCTCGCCTCCTTCAGCAACCGCCGCCACCGGCCGCCCTTCGACGTCGAGCGGCCAGGGGCTGGTGTAGTCCTTGAGGATGGCGAGAGCCTCGAGGCTGTCCTCCAGGCGCTTCACCTCTTCTTCGGAGTCCTCCTCCTCTTCCTGCGTTAAATTAAAATCATCCGTGTTTAATTGTATTTCACGCTGTCAAGTACCGAACAGACCAGGCGAGTATGTATGGGTCAGGGTGAGCGCTTGTCAAACGCTGTCTCGCTAGCGTGTTTTGTTTTGTCACGTTGTATCGAACACACGAGGCGAGCATGGGGTGGGGGGATGGGCACTTGCCACATGCTGTCGCTGGGGTTGTTCCCTAGGTTCTCGTAGTGCATACCTGAAGAGTGACTTGTACGTGTCCGTTGCTCGTTCATGCGTTCAAATTTCTGACTTTTTTTGTCCGACTTATTCGAGAGGCGAGAGGAGCATTCACCCCCCCCCCCCCCA